AGGAGCAAAGGTAAAATAATGAACTTGAAAGATAATTAACTGGTGTGGAAAAGAAACCCTTAGCATTTTTTGAGAAAACTATGTTAAACTCAATAGCCACATTTTAGTTCCGCTTGATATAACCCAACCGATTTCAGTTTATTTTTTAGTCCTCTTGGTGGCTAATCGGTAAAATCAGGGATCAATAAACGCTATGAGGATATTGCAGAAGGCCTATTGTGTATCTTAAAAATAGTGTTCTTATATAAAATAGAAATGTGTGTTTTTCTTATAGTAAAGCCATATCGGGCGATCTGCTGTGTCCATCGAGGGGAATCGAATCCCTGATTTTAGCGTTGTAAGTCCGTAGACTTACGGCTGTCCAAGCGGAGACAATAGAAATGTGAACACAGATTTTTTGTGTTGACATCTAAATGGTTTCGCGAATGGTTATCTCACGTTTTATCGTTACAGTTTTAAAAAAATACATATGTATATTTTTCTAGTGGTTTTCTTACAATGCACATTGTGTGGAAGTGGACTAAAGGATCATCCGGAAATTTCAGTATTATTCTGTACATCTTATCAAGATATGTCAGGTAAGTTACGTGAATGTTAACTACTCTTTGAATATTTTGCTGTTTAACTTCTTACTTACGATAATGTATTTAAATAAATATATACCGCTTATACTTTATACTGGATTGGAATTTTCAGCCAGAACGACACCTTATGCACGCGTGGGCGAAGTGACCAGATCAGAAATTCCTAATTTTCAACTACTAATCAAAAGAAAGGTAGACAGTAAGTAGTACCCGCCGCCACAAGAGCTTTCTCGGGATCTTTGGATAGAATAAAAGGATTGAATGGCACTTCTATATCGCATCAATAGCTGAAAGTGAAGTGGTTGTTAAGCGGCATCGTGTATCGAACCCTACTTAACAGGGATACTGAAAACTAATAAAATTTATTTACAATAAATACCTAATTCCAAATTGAATAGGTTTGGAGATATTCACTTTTCTCATTCTTTCAAATAGAACAGAAAACTTCGACCTATATAATTTATATGCGGAAAACACTAAGAAAATATAGTACTTTGAACTTCATGTTGACTAAAATTAATGACAGAAATTCGTGAAGTTTGAATAATTTTATTGTTACAATTTTTTTCATATTTAAATATATTAAGTATTTTGCCGTAAGGTGGCTTCTTTAATTATTAAAATAATTCTATTGTTCAACAAAGAGGATAATTTATGAATTTGGGAAACGTGTTAATTTCGAAAGACGTTTTCCTACATTTCTTTGATTTCTTTTTTTCTCTTTGACGAAAGTGATCATAAAGGAATCACAAGTGCTGTACAAAAAATACACCAATATACATCATCATAAGAACCAAGCCTAAATAACTGTTTAAGGCTTAAAAAAGATAGTTTTTGAGTTTCATGACCACTTAAGTAAGATTATGGATCGCGAATAATTCTTTGGACTAGGACTAACGACTAACAGTATGGAAATTAGGTGCTACTAAGTGGTTGCCTTCCTTCTGTCCATGCCCGGCATGGCCAGGTGGTTAGGGCACTCGACTCGCAATCTGCGGGTAGCAGGTTCGAATCCCTGTCACACCAAACATGCTCGCCCTTTCAGCCGTGGAGGCGTTATAATGTGACGGTCAATCCCACTATTCGTTGGTAAAAGAGTAGCCCAAGAATTGGCGGTGG